CATTTGGAAAAGCAGGAGGGTTGGTGTGCCATGCCTGCTGCGCTCAGACCCCTCATCACCACCAGTGTGTCTGTCCAGTGGGACATGTAACAACACAGGGTGACATCTCCTCTCCCATGGATGCTGTCACAGGAAGAAGGTGCTGGAGCATGGAGGAAGGCATTATCTGTGTGGGATTTCCCTGCCTGGCAGTTTGACTCGCAGCTGAGTGTTGCAGCTCTGAGCCTGGCTTGGGTCCCAGCCCAGGATTAGCGTGGATGATGTGTGCAGACATGCCGTGTGTCCACAGGAGCCTCCCGCCTCCTGTAATTTTTTCTTATCCCTTCACGCTCCCCAAAGGGCGAGAGCTGGAATTCCTGTCAGCTTTGGAAGTTTTGGGGTGGGTTTTTTCTGTGTTGGTTTTAAAGAGAAGACCACAGTCCCCTGCCTGAGCTGGGCTGAACTTTCAGCACAGAAAGAAAATAAAACTGGTTCCTAGCAGTGCTCTTTTGGGGTATCCAGCCAATGGCAGGAAGACAGAACCCAGTGATGTCTTCTGCAGCCACTGCTGGATAAGTTCCATGGCGTGCTGTCAGCAGCAAAGCTGTGGTTTGGTCCAGCATTTCATTTTTTTTGCCTGTTCTGCTGCCTCCTTAACTCCATTTAAAGGTAGAAAGTCTGATTCACGGACAAAAACCTCTTTCTTCTTGTATTCAGGACATTTCCCATGAAGCAGGCAGCACCCTCCCGCGGGCAGCACAGTGATTCCCAGCATCAGCTCCTGCCTTTTGAAACCTCAGGTTTCTGGTGGCAGCGGATGAAATGCGTGGCAGGCAGGGAAGGGCGCCGGGCAGCCGGGATCCTGGCCACCAGTTCCCTCGCCACAGTGCTTCATCCCCACGTTGGGAATGAGTCAGGCCAGCTCATTGCTTCTTGGGAACTACCAGGTCATTTGGTAGGCTCTGATGTACGGCCAGGTCGGCTTCTGTCAGCGCTGGTGGCTCTATTAACATGCAGAAAACGATGTTTAAAATAATACCAGGAAGGTTAGAAAGCCAAACGCGGGAGGATTGGGCAATACGGCCATTCAGAGTACCCGTATAATTTTCCTTCAGCTTCCATTATGTTTGTGTGTAGTGACGCAGCTTTAATGACATGATCACACGGGTTTTCCACCGGCACCTGCTCATTCAGAAGAAAGGATGCCGGGGTGAATCAGCGCCGTGGTGAGGGCGGTTGTTATCAGAGCGAGGCGGCAGCATCTCGGCGTGTGATAGGGCTGGGTCACCGTGCAGTGGTGTGGGCAGGTGCTCTGTGCTGCGGCCTGGGATGCTCTGCTGGCATTGGCACATCACTTTGGCTCCTACCCTGCCCTGGGGCTCAGCTGGCCAGACCCCACTGTTAGCCCAGCCTGCTGTGGGTCAGCACCGTGGCACTCGGGATGTGCCTCCCAATATGTCACTGTTCTCTGTGGGACTTGTGCGAGTGCCACTTCCTGTGTTCTCATCTCCACCTCAGCCCCTGGGGACTCTCCCCAGGGCTGGCATTTTGCTCCCCAGTGAGGTGGCCAGATCCTGACCGGCTCCATCTTTGCTCACCCTGCAGGAGGGAGGATCTGCAGTGGGAAACGTGCCAGCCTACCAGCAGCCCGACCCTTCCCAGTGATCCAGAAGGTGATGGCCTCCATGGCACACCTGCAGAAGGAGAAGCTGCAGCTGCAGGAGGAGCTGCTGGGGCTGCAGGAGAAGCTCGCTGCCCAGGAGAACGATGAGCTCTCCCTCTCTCTGCAGCTGCAAGGCCAGGTACGGTGGGGACAGAGCAGCACAAGGGGGTCTGTCAGGGCCTCCAGCCTCAGGCTGTGGCTTGGCTGCAGTGCTGTGGTGTGCAGTTAGTGAGGGTTGCACTTGGAAAGAGTGTAGGACCTCCATCATAGAGCATCTCCTTTGCTGCAGCATGTAGGGATGATGTGGGAGCTGGGTGTTCCTGAGCCCTGGTTTTGGCTGTGCCTCCCTTGGGATGCTTGCAGTCCCCTGAGTGACACCACAGTAGTGCTGACAAAGGTGTGTGGCTCCGTGGACATGACGTGGCTGAGAGGGCTTTGGGCGTCAGGATGCAGCCCTGCAGCATCATCCCTCTGCCCAGCACAGGACGGCTGCCACAGGATCAGCTCGTTAGACCAACCCAGCAGTTCAATTTTAGTGACTTTCAAGAGTCAGGAGGTGGAAAGTGAATGTGAAGGCACAGAGTTGTTTGAAGAAGGGACGGGTTTTGGCCACCACAACCAGACCTCCTCCAAAAACCATCTCCTGCGCTGATGCAGGCGCATTCCCAGCACAAGGACCTGGGTTGTCCCAGGGAGATGGAAATTCTGGCTGCTCGCAGAGGGATTTGCATGTGGCTGTTGTGGAAGCTGTTGCAGTCAGGTTCTGCTTGTTCCACGGGTGTCAAAAAGGCGGAGGTAATTGTCCTGCATTTGGTTGGCATGCTCTGCATGACACAGGCGTGAGCGCGGCAGGAGCCGGCCCCGCGCCGGCCAGTTCAGCAGCAAGCGCAGCCGACACCGGCCGGAGTGAAGTGCTGGCCCAAACCTCCAAAGCTTGGGGATGGCCGGGCCACGGCTTGAGCCAGATCCGGCTGCCAAGGAGGCCCTGTCACCTCCAGAGAGCAGGATGCAGCCAGAGATGCCCGAGCAGGTAGGGGGTGGAGGTGCTTTGGCATTTTTGGGCACCGCTGGCACAGGGAATGGTGGGCAGGCTCCGGCGTGTGTGCCGACTGGCTGGGCTGGCGGATTCCCCGGAACAAGTCGTGACTCTGTCTTCCCAGTACCTCCCCTCTCTTAAAAATACTTACAAAAATACCTTAATAGTCTCCCTCGGTGAATATGGAAATGGGGTTTTCCCACTCAAATGCTCAGCCCCCCTGTGGAGGGGGGGATCCCGATGCCGTCAGGGAGCAGCCGCATTCCCCCACCCGTGGCTGTGGAATTCCAGGCCGTGCCCCACCGAGCACGGGGCACACGGAGCTGCTGCCCGTTGTGCTGCCATCTGTGCAAGGGCGCGGCTTAATAACTTACCAGATTAATTATAGCCCCGTGTCAGCACATCTGCATTGGTTATTAATCAACAGTTCGTAAATTATGGTCCACAGAGGGCCGGTTGCTTAGAGAAAAAGCTGGTTATTGGAATGGGGCAATACCCAGGCGCGTCCCAGTGAGGAGTTTGGCGGCTTTCAGGAGCAGGGAAATGGGGAGCTGGGTTGGGAGCTGGGGGATGGTGGTGAAGCATGCAGCCAGGTCCAGTTCCCTCTGGGGTAAGCTCCGGGGCAGTAGTGATGCTCACCCAGCAGGTTTATGGCACAGGGACATGGGACAGAGCAGGTGAGCAAACCCCATTAAAACACAGTCCATGAGACTGCTGGCTTCACCAAACACTCGCTGCTGCTGTTTGTTCAAATAACTGCAGATTTTGGGAGGGCCTGACTGATCCCTGCACAAAAAAAAAGTTGAGGATTTCTAAAATCCACCTGGTTTTGCTGGGAGGGCAGCCTGGTCCCATAAGATGGGCAGATGCCCAGATAGGGGTGGCTGGGGAGCATCCTCCTGTCAGACTCAGACACATGACCTTCTTGAAGAGCTGCTGCTCCCTCTTTGTCCCAAGATAACTTTCCTAGAAGGAAAAACAGAGAAGGCAAAACGAAGCTATGTTGTGAGGGCAGGACAAGGCACTTCTGGCTCTTCAAACACTGTTATGGATAGGTTTGTTTTCTCTCTTCTCCAAAGATGATGCCTTTTTTTTTTAATGATGGTTTCTGCTAATGCTCAGCATGGACAAATTATACCCATGGTTGAACAAGGTCAAAGCAAGGCTTTCATTAACGCTTGTTTAAATCAGGTCGTGTGAATCAGGCGCTCAGAGCCAGGTGGAAAATTAAGGCATAACAAAAATGTGAGACAGACTGGATGTTGGTGGCTGGGGTGGCACCACAGGGTCTCCTCCAAAAGCTGCTGAGGTGCTTCCTGGTTAACCTGGTCTGTGTTGACAGGTTGAAACTCTGAAGGCGAAGGTCCTAGAGCAGGCGCAGGAGATCGGCCGGCTGCGCTCGGAGCTGGTGAGCTGCCACTGGGATCGGGCTGAGCCACCTTTGCCTGCAGGGACACTGGAGCTCTGGTTCCTGAGGAGGAAGAGGGCACATGGGGTGGACAAAGGTGGACTAAACCTCCCCAGGGTCACAGTTTGGACCCTCTGGGCCTTGAGACACTGAGGGACAAAAGTTTGTGGGATTTTCTGTCCAATGCAACGTTGTGCCAGTGTCCGTGGGACACAACAGGCAAAGCTCCCTTGGTGCTGTCGCCCTGCGGTGGGAACTGAAAGTCCCTTTGGGGCTTGGGGCTGCCTGGGCTCAGTGGGGGCTCTCTGACATGGCAGGCTGGGTCTCCCCTGATGGAGCAGGCTGGGGGCTCCCTGGGGTGCAGCAGAGTCAGGGCTCCAAAGTGGCAGGAGACTGTGGCTCCCTGAGCATGGCAGGTTGGGGGTTCCCTGAGGCTGCAGGCTGGTGACTCGCTAGTGCAGCAGGCAGAGGCTCCCCAGGGCAGCAGCAGGCTGGGCTCAAGGGGTGCATCAAGGTTCCATCTGCTCTTCCATCCTGGCAGGGTGGCACGGATGCAGAGAAGCACCGGGACCTGCTGGCGGCCGAGAACGAGCGCCTGCGGCAGGAGATGAAGGCGTGTGAGGGGGAACTGCGGGAGCTGCTGCGGCAGCAGCAGCAGCAGCAGGCACCGTGCCGGGACTGCCACCACCTCCAGGTGAGTTGCTGGTGGCAGTGGCGGTGGTGGCAGAGTGACAGGCACCCGTGGGTGACACAGCCTTGTCTGCCATGTTCTGGGGTCAGGAGAACGCTGGGCTGCAGGAGCAACTGTCCCAGCTGCAGCGGGAGGCAGAGGAGACGCGGGCCAAGCTGGTGGAGCTGGACCTGGAGGTGCAGCAGAAGACGAACCGCTTGGCCGAGGTGGAGCTGCGGCTCAAGGACTCCCTGGCCGAGAGAGCCGAGGAGGAGGAGCGGCTCAGCCGGCGGCTGCGGGACAGCCAGGAGACCATCGCCAGCCTCAAATCCCAGCCCCAGCAGATAAAGGTGAGCACCACGGAGCTCTTCATCTCTCCTGGCTGGGCTGGGTGCTTCGCAGTGCCCAGTGGCTGCCCTGCAAGTGCCACCTATCTCTCTGCCCTGAGCGCATCAGCACAACACCATGATTTCCTAAATTATCTCCCCCTGGGCAAACAACAGTTCCATTCCAGGCCCCTCGAGTGCTGTTTCCCCAGTACATCTCTGTGTGCTTTTTCCCCCAGTATATCATCAAGACGGTGGAGGTGGAGTCAGCCAAGGCAAAACAAGCCCTGTGCGAGACCCAGTCCCGAAACCAGTACCTGCAGGAGCAGGTGGGGATGCAGAGGCAGGTGCTGAAGGAGATGGAACAGCAGCTGCAAAACTCCCAGAAGACAGAGGCTCAGCTCCGAGCTCAGGTCTGGGTGTGACAGGTGTAAATCAGAACTCACCTGGTGTTCCCTGCCTGCCTGGTGCTCGCCAGGTGATATGGTGTGGCAGAGGGTGGGCACCAGATCAGTGTCACCCTCCTTTGCTCCTCTCCCAGATTGTGATGTACGAGGCTGAGCTGGAGCGAGCCCATGGGCAGATGCTGGAGGAGATGCAGGCGATGGAGGAGGAGAAGAATCGTGCCATTGAAGAGGCATTTTCCCGTGCCCAGGTGGAGATGAAGGCAGTGCACGAGAACCTGGCAGGTGAGGAAGGTGCAGGGGGCTTGTGGGGTTACCTGATCAGTGCTGGGGTGTCGTCACCTGCCCCTCACCCTGCCTCATGCCTGCAGGTGTCCGGACCAACCTGCTGACACTGCAGCCAGCTCTGCGCACCCTCACCCACGACTACAACAGCCTGAAGCGTCAGGTCCGCGACTTCCCCCTGCTCCTCCAGGAGACCCTGCGCAGCGCCAGGGCCGAGGTGAGTCCCCCTGGATCCACCACCCCATCTCCCCTCTACGCTGAGTGGAGATGCTGGGGGCTTGCTGAGCCGCTGGTCTCCACCCCTGCAGATCAGCCAGGCCATCGAGGAGGTGCACAGCACCAACCGGGAACTGCTGCGCAAGTACCGGCGGGAGCTGCAGCTCCGCAAGAAGTGTCACAACGAGCTGGTGCGGCTGAAAGGTGTGCGGGGAGTGGGGCAGGTCCCGTCGTGGGAGAGCGTGCCCCTGAGGGGGGGCAGGATGGACAGGGGAGCATTCCCATAAGGTGCTCGGGTTGACAGCGGGATGCTTCAGTCTGCAGCAGGCTGCAGCGTTCAGCCTGCCCAGTGTTTGATGGTTACTGGGGGTGGCAGCAGGATGCGCTGGGCCTGACACCATCCCTGCATCTCTCATCCCAGGAAACATCCGTGTTTTCGGGAGAGTCCGCCCCATCACAAAGGAGGATGGTGAGGGCCCGGAGGCGGCCAATGCAGTGACTTTTGACACCGATGATGATGCTGTCCTGCACCTCCTGCACAAGGGGAAGCAGGTGTCCTTCGAGCTGGATAAAGTCTTCCCCCCACAAGCATCCCAGGAGGAGGTGGGTGCTGCTGTCCACACTGTTGGTGTGAGGGGAGGACACAGCCACCTTCCCCTGACCCTCCCCTGCCTCCCCCAGGTGTTTCAGGAGGTTCAAGCCCTGGTCACCTCCTGCATTGATGGCTACAACGTTTGCATCTTCGCCTATGGGCAGACAGGGGCAGGAAAAACCTACACAATGGAGGTGAGTTTGCCTGGCTTTTCTTCCATCTTCTTCCTCAGCTTCCCACCCCATGGTGCCCAGTCTCAGCACCCTCCACTAAGCATGCTGGTGGCCAGCTCAGACCCGTCGTGCACCAGTGATGGTGACTGCTGCTCCACAACAACCCCCTGGGCTTTGTTTCTGCTCAGAAAAAAATACAGAGCAAAAGGCAAGAGGGTGTTTTTCCCCCCATTTCTCACTCCAATCCATCAGGGAACGGCAGCAAATCCAGGGATCAACCAGCGGGCCCTGCAGCTCCTCTTCTCCGAGGTGCGGGGCAAAGCAGCCGACTGGGATTACACCATCACCGTCAGCGCCGCCGAGATCTACAACGAGTCGCTCAGGTACGGGGAGGGCGGAGAAGCTTTTTGGGTGTCACCCCATGCTGCTCTTCCCCCCCCCTCCCACCCGCCCTGCCCTGGCCTCACAGCTTGTGCCAGGGCCTTAGGTGATGTGTTTGGCCATGCAAGGATTTATTTTTAATTTATTTTGGTGCACACCGCCCTTCCCACAAGCTCCAAGACTTACACAGGCTCCCAGCCCTGCCATCACTCCCACTCCCTGGCCCTGATGCAGCGGATGGGGCATCCCCCTCTCCACCCTTGCCCACAGATGCTATATTTAGGACTTTGTAAATGGGAGCTGGGAACGTGAGAAATATTTTCCTCCCTTGTCCAGCCTCAGGCAGGAGGGGCTAGGAGGATCCTAGGAGCACATCCATTAGAATAATGGGGAACAGAGTTGGGTGAGAGCAGGCACATGAGAGCCAAGAGAGCTGAGGTCTATAAATAGGTTGTGCAGCTTTCCCAGGAGGAGAAGGCTGCTCTGGCAGTGTTGGCACACAGCCCTGAGCCGCGGAAGGGATGCCAGCACCCCCCTGGGATAGGGATGGTAACGGGTGCCCCTTTGCCCAGGGACTTGCTGGGGAAGGAGCCACAGGAGAAGCTGGAGATCAAGCTGTGCCCCGATGGCAGCGGGCAGCTCTATGTGCCCGGGCTCACCGAGTTCAGGGTGCAGAGCGTGGAGGACATCAACAAGGTGCGGGGAGATGGGGGGGGTGGGTACAGGAGGGTGGAACCAGGGGTGCAGCGAACCCGGGGAGGGGTTTCTGGTCTGTGACCCCTGGATTCGGGAGCATTTCTGAAGCCCTGGGGAGCAACAGAGACCAAAATAGGTCTCTGGATGTGATGAGAAGGTCACTGTCCCATGGGGTGAGCCACAGGGGGTTAAAAATAAAAGCGTGGGGCCCAGAGTTCCTGAGGGATTAGTGGGATGCGGCTGTCACCACAGTGCCCTGCCTGTCACCCCCTGCCTTTGGTGCATCACCCAGGCTGAGATCTGACAGCGGTCATCACCCTGATGGACCAGGCACCCCCTTGGGGGTGCTATTGCTCAGGTTACATCTCCAGGTGCCCCTGGATCACAGGGGGTTTGTCATGGGACTGGGCCAAACTGGCCTCACCCCCCAACTCCCTGGACTCCCCCAGGTCTTTGATTTTGGCCACGTCAAACGGGTGACAGAGTGCACCAACCTGAACGAGCACAGCTCTCGCTCTCACGCGCTCCTCATCATCACCGTCCGTGGCCTCGACCGCAGCACGGGGCTCCGCACCACAGGTGGGTGCCACGGGGCAAACCCCTCCCCAGGGCGCCTGGGCCGCAGCATCCCAGGGGTGTGTGGGGCCGGGCACTGATGCCAGCCCGGGGGGTTTGGCTGTGTCCTCAGGGAAGCTGAACCTGGTGGACCTGGCGGGCTCGGAGCGGGTCGGGCGGTCGGGCGCGGAGGGCAGCCGGCTCCGCGAGGCGCAGCACATCAACAAGTCCCTCTCGGCACTGGGCGACGTCATTTACGCCCTGCGCTCCCGGCAGGGCCACGTGCCCTTCCGCAACTCCAAGCTGACCTACCTGCTGCAGGACTCGCTCAGCGGCGACAGCAAGACCCTCATGATGGTGCAGGTAGGGGCTGGGCACCCAGTGCCTGTCAGCATTCCCACGGCCAGTCAGTGTGGGTTTTGGGATGAGTTTGGTCCCTTCTTGCTCCAGTGCTGGGGCAGGTGGGAGGGTTGCTGGAGGCAGGAGCTGGGCTGGAACCAGGGGACAGGGCTTGCCCATGGGGACATCTGGTCTGCAGCTGCAGCGCCAGAGGCAGCTCTGTCCCCGTCTCTGCACCCCAGAGGCCGAGGGATGGGAATGAACTTGGAGATCCATGATCCTGCCCTGTGGGCACGATCTCCTTGCATATTGTCATCTCCACATCCCCTCTTTTGCTGGGAGGATTTTGAGTTCTGGCAGCTCCTCCACCCCTGTCCTGTGGCCCCCCAACCCCGGCTGCCTGTGCCCACAGCGAGCCCCCACAGGGGCTGCCCAGGCCCCTGCCACCTGCCACAGCTATTCCCGGCTGTCCCTCCCGCTGTGGCGGTTGGTGACAGGGGATCCAGCTGGCCCAGACACGGATGGACAGAGCCATCCCGGGAGGGGCAGGTTAATAATAGCATCTCACCGGCCACCATCGGCAGGTTTGCCGGGGGAGGGCCCCGGGGTGCGCAGGCAGCTGCCAGGGTGACTTTTCTGCCTGCTCCTCCCTGCCTGCAGGTCTCCCCTGCCGAGAAAAACACCAGCGAGACGCTGTGCTCCCTGAAGTTTGCCGAGAGAGTTCGCTCCGTGGAGCTGGGTCCTGTCTCCCGCAAGGCTGAGCTGGCCTCCTGGCCCAGCCAGGAGCAGCTGGAGGTAACCAAGGAGCTGCTGGTGCCTTTCCTCTTCCCCCTCACTCCAGGGGTCCCCTTGTTTCGCCCCCACACATGTTCCCCAGGGCTTTTGGATGTTCCCCTGGAGCCACCTTTGCTGGGGACCATCACCTGGTGGGATGTGGGTTGTTCCCAAGCAGAGGTGTCCAGCTGATGCTGCTACTTTGGCTGTTCCAAGCCATGTTTTGCAGTAGCCCATAGTACCCCCAGAGCACATTTGGATACCACTACCCAGGCGGGCACAATCTGCCCATGAGCCCATCCCCATTCCTTCCCTTTGAGGACTGGCATGGACTGACCCTGGGTCTGTGTCCCATCTCCTCCCAGGGTGACTCACCGGGTTCTGCAGCAACACCTGGCCGGGGCCACACATCCCACAGCCCAGGGCAGCTCTCCAGTCGCTCCGCCTCCATCCGCAGGAAGCTCCACACTTCAGGTGGGTGGTGGGGCACCTTGGGAGCCCATATGGGGTCCCTCCATCCAAGGAGGTTCCCACCACAAGCCCGTGGCAAAGCCTGCATGAGGGAGTGAGCAGATTCGTAATCAGCTCATTAACTAATTGCTAATTAGCCATGGTCAGCACTTCCCCAAGAGCACCCTGGTGCAAAGCTGCTGCTGGCGGCTCAGGGGGTGTGGGGAGGACAATGCCACCAGGCTGAACTTCTCTCCCCTTTGATTTCAGCCTGACTTAGGGGCAGCCGTGGCTGCCAGGTGAGTGCCTGCGGCGGGCGCTGGTGGAGGGCTCTGCTTCACCCGCTTCCCAGGCAGGGCAGGGCTGCTGGGCTGTGCAGGGATGCTCCTGGGGATGCTTGTGGTACCAGCTCTTGCTACAATGCTGCCAGACGGGGCTGGGGCACTGGTGGCTGTGTCCCTGCCTACTGTGACCCACGTGTCTCTTCCCAGGGAAGCTGAGGTCGGTCCCACTGTGATAAGTGCCAGCTCCCAGCTCGGGCACCAAACCCTCTCCAGGACCCAGCCCCTCACGGCGACACAGAGGTGGCTGCTGGAAGAAATGAAGGCTTCAGTGCTGTTCCCTTGGTCACCAGGACCTGTGACCTGAGGGTGATGGCACCTCTCACAATGAGCAGTACAGGACCAGGGTCTCCTAGCAGCCAGATCCCCCTCTCAGGGTGGGGGACAGTGGTGCTGGGCAGGAATCTGCCCCCTCAGATGCTCAGCTATGTGACAGTTGATTTTAGCCAGAGCGGGGAGCTGCTGGGTGCTCCCTCCATCTCTCCAGCTTTGTTTTTACAATGAAACTGGGTTGGAGGGGGTTCTTGGAGCTGGAGGGTGTGCTTGGAGCCAGGCTAGCCCCTGGCTATGCCTCTGCTACCCCCACAGGGCCAGCCTGGCTATGGCTCCCCCACGACTGCACCCAGGCAACTGCCCGTTGTCTTTCAGAGCAGCATTTCCTCCATGGTAAGTCAGAAAAAAATTCCAGCAGCTCCTTCCCCCGTCGGTTTCTCAAGCCCTGTTGTTGCATGAAGGCCCCTGGTGCCGTGCATGAGCCGAGCTGCCGTTCCTCGTGGTGCCAGTGCTGCCAGGCCCCGGCACAGACCCGGAGCGGTCGCGGGCCGCCTGTGTTACACGGCACCAGGGGGATTTCGCAGTCTCGAATGAAGCTATTGTAAAGTTATTTACCAGTTGTCTTGTCAAGAGAGATCACAGTGTGGTCGAGATGAAAGTGTTTGAAATATTTATGCCTGTTTACATGGACTTGGAACGGAAAACTAATGGAAAACAAGCAAAAGTACCCCAAACCTCCAGCCCAAAAGCCTGTTGGCTTATGTCTGGGGATGGCAGCTAGCAGGGGCATGGGAAGGGGATGGCACTGCCCGTGGTCCTGAGCACCCACCTGTGGGTACGTTTCCTCCTGCTGCAAATACCTGCTGGATGCACTGATGGCTCCTTCCACCACGGCCCTCTCCTCTCACACTTCCACAGCATATTCTATTTAAAAACAAAAAAGGGAAAAATAAATTTAGCCTTTTGTATGATTAAATGTTTCTATGTATTTTAATAATTAAAAATTATCCTGTTTTGTAACAAAACTTATTTTAAATAAACTGTTAAAGCCAGTCGTCCTCTGCTGCTGTTCTTGAACCCTGCTTGGCATGGGGTGGGTGCTCCTTCCCTCACTCCCAGCATCTCCCCTAGGGCTGGAAAAGCCCGTTGCATCCCTTCCCTTGCCCCCGGGCCTGCCTGGCTGTGCAGACCCCCCCTGATTGCAGCCATTGGGCTCCCACGATTAGCAGGAGAGTGAGCGGTTAAACCCTAAGTCAGCCCCAATGCTGCCACATCCTGCTCCACCTCGTGCTTCTCCCAGCTGAGATCTGCTGGAAGCTCAGCAGGGAGGGAGATCTGCTTGGGGCCAGGGAGAAGGACAAGCCCCAAATGATGACACTGCTCCTTGGGCTGGGAACAACCCAGCAGAGTGAAACCACCCCCGGGATTTCCGCAAGCCACCCGGCAAGTGCTGGCTCTCCCGTTGCTCACCGCAGCCTCCCAGCAGGAAGGGCAAGAATGGTCAGCTTTCCCCTGGGACACGCAGGGAACAGAGCCCTGCTTTTCCTGGGTGCTCTCAGGCAGGAGCTGTGCCATGTTAAACAAGACTTCAAGAGATTCAGGCATTTAACACGACTTAAAAAAAAAAAATTACAAATATTTTAATAAAATTCATTTAAGTTACAGATTCCTGGAGAACAGGCTCCAGTGTATAAAATGGGAGACAGGCTGGGAAGAGCAGGGAAGCACCAACAGGAACCTCTTTCCCCAGAGGAAAGAAGAAAGAGGGACAGAAAGGTTCTGACAGACATTTATTGGGGGGAAAAAAACAAAAAATGAACCTCTAAGAGTGGTCCAGTGGATGTAGAAAGACATTAATCAGTCCATGTCCCTCTGTTTCTCCACCCTCCCAAATCCTCACCCCCAAAGGCAAACACATACGACAAGTCCTGCTTAAGTCACATATTCTCACAGGTCCAGGAAGACCTCAGATTGCAGCACAGTCTGAAGATATTAATCTCCTGCATCCCTGGGTGCCAGCAGGGATGTTTGAGAAGCCAAGAGACAGCTTCCTCTTGGTTCAGGTCCTTGAGACTGCACCAGCGCGGCGGCACGGTGTCCTTGCCCGTGTTGGATGAAGCCAAAGGAGCCGATCCCTCACGGCAGCTGATGTTCCTTCTGTATGGAAAGGGCACTCCACCCCACAGCAGGCGTTTGTGGGGCGGCCTCTGCAGTCCTCAGCACGCTGCACAGCAACAGTGGGGCCAGCCAGCCCCGGCCCACAGGGCCAAGCGACAAGAACGGACAGCACAGGCGGGAAGGAGGGGCGACAGCAGGCTCGGAGCCATCCTGCCATGGAAAGGCCAGCACACAGAGCAGCCCAGAGCTTGATGCTGAGATGAAGAGCTGAAATGAAGCAGCTTCCCTACAGGTCTTTGCGGGGCCCTCAAGCCGCCAGGGCCCCTCACACAGCACACGTCTCTCCATTCAGGTCCTCCATCCAGCCCGTAAGGCACCGGGGCTGGGTGGGCGACCAGCCAGCCAGATTCCACTTCCCTACCATTCTGGAGGGGGGGCAGGGGGAAAAGATGGACACATGGAGAGACCTGAAATCCAGCCAGACCACGAGCAGAGGGAAGCTTGGCCACCTGTATTTGCACGTGAGGAAGTGGTGGCTGTTACTCCAGGACAGCCATGAGGAGAAGCAGTTCCCGAAAGGCACTTCCATGGCGGCCACTGAGCCCAGACTTGTTCTTGACAACGTTGCTGATGTTTTTCAGTTGCTTGTAGCACAGCTTGCATTTGTGGAGCCTGCAAAAAAACAACAGCAGACACAGCATAAAACCTCAGCTGCCTAAGAGAAGTGCCTGTTCCTGCAGTGCCAGAAAGGCAATTCAAGCAGGAGAGGAAAGCCCCACAAATGGCCTGGAAAAAGCTGAAATCTGAGCAGAGCTCTGCAGACAAACACCAGGCATTCAGCCCATGTCCTGATGAGACAGGGGAATGGCATTCACATAAGGGCTCTTTCACTCCCCTTTCCCCTTTGGCAGTACAGACCAGGGAGGAAGGAGGTGCTGCTTTCTGAAGGCCAATTCTCAAAGCAGAGCTATCCTGTGAATGAACTGGAAACCCAGGGCCTGGCTGCCAACTCATGTGAAGCAGAGGGTGAAGCCAGAGGGTGGTTTTACTCCCAACACTTTGTTTAGGTGTGACTCAATGCACAGTGACAGAGGGAAAAACAGTCTCTTGGCCTTTTTCTCAGAGCAGGAGGGTTTGGTGTTTGCAGACAAAGGGAAGGCAAGCCCAGTCTAGTACCAGAGCCTCCACGGTGAGGACAAAGCTCACCCAAGAGAAAGGTTGGTTCCAACAGGGAGCAAGAGGAAGCATGTGCCTCACCTTTCCTCTCTGCTGATGTCCACTCCAACAGAAGGTGGTGCAGCAAGGATGTCTGTGATGAGTGGCAGGAATCTCTGGAGAATGAGTTTCAGGGATGTGCAGCCAGTCTGCACATAACTGAAAAACAGAGCATTGGGTCCCCTTTTAATTTCTTCCTGTCCTCCCCACACATAGCCCTCAAACAACTCCCCCTCCACCACCTGTAACCAGGGAAGAGCAACAGCCAATACATCTTGGTTCCAAGGCTTTGACAAAGCAAGCCTGTTCCAAAGGTCCTGGCACATACCCTGCCAAGTGGAACCTCTTTGCTAAAGGGCAAAGATGTCCTGCCAAGGGACTCTGGCAGGAGCCTCTCTCCCAGAAGAAAGAAAAGCAGAAACTTCACCTTAAGAAAGAGGCTGAATTTTTTTGCCCCATAACAACGAGTCTCTGGGGCTGTTGCAGGACTTCATTACCCTTGTCCCAAGCTGACAGCTTCACTCCCATCAGTGAGCAAAGCCCATTTGTTTTGCATTAATGTGATCCCTCCTGGCTGCCAGAGCTGTCTTCAGTCCAACACACCTACACCAAATCCCACTATCCTGCTCTTCCTGCCCATGCATACTTTCCATATCTTTTCCCACACACACCTGGCAACTCCATGGCTATTTTCCAGGCATCGTATCAGCATTATACTGTATCTGTTGTGATTTCTCAGGATTTTCTTTCAGGTACAAAATGCCCAGTGGAGCTCCCTTATCACTATCTGCACCCTGTCCCCCAATCACACCATGTTCTTGGGGCCTCACCTTTCATATTTACTTTGGAGCAGTTTTTCTATCTGCGGCAGGACTATAGTACACAAATCCAGCTTCCAGAGAGACCTGAAAAGAAAAGGACACATCCTGAGACTGGAGACTGAAGCTTTATAAATCTGAGTCAACACAAATAACACTTTATAGCAAAATGCCCAGGCAGCAACACTCAAGTTCACTGAGCAAGTTCACTGACTCCCCCTCGTGAGAGAAAGTGGCAGGTTCTTACAAATTTCATTGACTCTCAGCACAATCACTTTATGAAGCCCCAAGACTTTGATTTTCCTTGGCCCCAAACAACTCCAGCAGGTCCTGGCACTGCAGGCTTGAAAATGTGACTACTGGTACATGCATTTCATGCTGCCACAGCCCACTGGACACAAGGCAGGTCCAAGGCAGCGCTCCCAACTCCCAGCCAGATGGCTCTTGGCTATCCCAGGGGCTGCCCTCACCCAGGACTCACGCTTTTTGGTTGACAATATTCAAGAGGTCCACAACAACAGACAGATCGTTGATTGCCACTGCAGAGTCCAGAGAGTTCTGAGAGAGAAGGAGAAGAAAAAGTCTTCTATTGCAAAGCTCAAACTGGTTGGGCTAAAGCAAATTAGTATCAAGCGCTCCTTTTCCAAAACAAGGTAGAGGAAATGTGAAGCTGGCTTGGGAAGAGAACTCTCTCAGTGGCAAAGTTTTCTCCACCTTTCTTTGTGACTGTTCAGCCTCAGGTGGGACACAGAGGTACTCTGTGGTGCACCCCTGGGGACAAGACCTGTGAGACCCCACGTTCTTTGTGAGGTAGAATCAGCCCCAGACAAGCAGAGCTGCTCAGCTGCTCCCCTCAGGAGCCTCAGGTATCTCCATATCCTTGCCTTGATGTCACTGGTGCTCCATACAGCCCGCACTGTGTCCAGATTCTTGTGGCGGCTGGTGAGCACCACACACATGGTCTCATGGCCCTTCCTGATCTGGGACATGGCTTCCTCATCCACAAGCTCGGTCTGGCTTTGGTTTTTCACAGCCTGGAAGTACAGACACCAATTACAGAGCAGCATGGCACAGAAGGGTGAGAGCTTTCTCTGGCCTTTGAATGGAAATGCCCAATTTGTTCTGACCTCAGTTACTTCTTTTCTGCTTTTTCTACTATGTCAATCACAAACACATTTGAAGCTTTGGAAAAACTCTCCAAAAAAAGGTGAATTTAAAGTAAGTTTCCAAACCCAGTATGTTTTGATGAAGAACTTCGTTCACGTAAACCCTATTTTTTATGTGAAACATTAATCTGGAATCAGCAGATTTTATTACAAAGTATAAATCTTACACAATTTATTAGACTCTCAATTTGATTCCTGCCCATGCCATGCTGGAACCACATTTAGAGTTTGGGATCATCAGGATGCTCTGGTCTTTCTCCTTTTCTAGGACAAGGGAATACCCTTCCCAAGAGAGACCAAGAGGCCTCCAAGATGCAAGAGGCAGAGATTCCTGTAAAATTATTATGTCCATGTAATGGCAGACACCAGTTTTCTAAATGAATCACTGCCTAGTATGTGGAGTTGTTCAGTGACTGTCTCACCCTTTGCTTTCTGTTTGGCAACATGTTGTTTGTGAGCAGGGTTCAACACTGCTGTGTTCACACCTCCCTGCTGCCAGTCACAGTGGGGGCACCTCAGAGAACCCCCTTTCTGATGCCACCCAACACAGACATCAGCTGGAAACCATCATCCAGAGACACTTACTGGTAGAAAGTCAGAGGCCTTCAGGCCAATGGGCTCATTCCTGGCTGCAGGAATCACCGATGGCTCTGTTCTGGTCGAAGAAGTTGAGGAGGCTATCGGTGGCCTCTGGACTG